TATATATATTAACAAATACCATTATGTCATCAGCAAGATTTGATACAAGGCTAACGGAAACACAAAGATAAACACAAGTGATATCTAAGAATGACTGTTGTTGTTAGCAGATCTTGTTCTGACTTTAATCATTCTCTCTGCAGATGAACAGCATGTCATGAAAATTTAGGTCATTAAAGGATGTCATGAATTACTAGCTTAAACATAAAAGTATTAGTTCCATTACATGCGGTACCACGACTGTTCCCAAACTTTTTAGACTTGTGTACCCTAGGGCTGAAACGATTCCTCGAATAATTCGAGTAATTCAATTACAAAAAATCCTCAAGGCAAATTTATCTGCCTCGAAGCTTCGTAAAAGACACATACTGTTATAATCAACGCACTTTCGTCCGCCCGGAATGTTATTTGTGTTACACACAATGCTACGATGTTAGCGCTTCCGTTAACAGTTACACTGTGGATGCGTCACGAGTGTATGCTTGCTGAGCGCTATATTTAGCTTTAGAAGAAGACGAAGAGTGCAGAAACGAAACACCCAGAAAACACCAACTTATAAAAAGCATGGGAACATTTAAAACTAAACAGAAAAGATGACAACGCTCAATGCTCTGCACATCCTCGATGTTTCTGCACCGGAACAAAAACAGTTGACCATATTATTCTCCTTGAAAAGTTGAATAAATTTGGCATTAGAGGACCAGCATTTCAGAGGATATTGTTGTGGAAATTGTCCCCTATTTGAAAAACAGGGAACAGTTTGTACAAATAAAACAATGTAAAATCTGAACTCTGCAACATCACATGCGGAGTTCCTCAAGGTAGTGTACTTGGTCCAGAGTTGTTTATTTTGTATGTGAATGACTTGGTAAATGTTAAATAAATAAAAAAATCTTGTGTGTCTCCATGTCTTCCTGTGATAAGGTGTTGTCCTGTTGGTTTAAATGTTTTTATTCATGTTTATGTAAATTATATTCTAGTCACTTCATCAACATTTAGTGTAGTGATAAAAAAGAAATAATCTTGTATTTGAGGTAAGAGTTGTGCTGATTCTACCTGACTCCTGAACATGTGCTGACAGCCACCCAGGAGTCTGGATGTCCTCTTACATGGCCATGGTAGAAACAGTGATTCTGAAAGAGAAAGCAATTTAAATTACTACTTTTCAAAACCACACAAATACAAATGATTACACAGAATTTTTATTAGAGAATGGATTTTGTTTATAAATTATGAATAAAATGTTCTCCAGAGATGCAATCCTAAGGTCATCAAAATGGATCCCCTCAACACCTTGGCAGCTCCTAGAAATTCTTTCCATAAAAGTTATGAACAAAATCTGTGAAAAGGCGCAATTTTGGCAGAGTCCAACTTTTACCACAAACAAGTCTGACTTACTACCGGCAATGCGGACCAGAGTCTGACATTGGTTGTACAGGGACCTAACAGCCCGTATCAAAGGGTTTTGTACCACATAGTCCCGGAGTACTCCCCGAGAGACACAGTTGAACCCCTTTTCCAAGTCCACAAAACACACGTAGACTGGTTGGGTGAACTCCCATGCACCCTCCAGGATCCTGCTCAGGGTGTAGAGCTGGTCAGCTTTTCCACAACCAGGACGAAAATCACACTGCTCTTCCTGAATCTGTTTTGTCTATCCGACGAACCCTCCTCTTCAGGACCCCTGAATAGACCTTACCTGTAAGGCTCAGAAGTGTGATCCCCCTATAGTTGGAACACACTCTGCAGCCCCGCCCCCCACACACACACACACACACACACACACTTTTTAAATAAGGACCACCACCCCAGTCTGCCAATCCAGGGGAACTGCCCTGATGTCTATACAATATTGTAGAGTCGCATCAACCAACACAACCCCACAACATCCAGAGCTTTAAGGAACTCCGGGCAAATCTCATCCACCCCRGGTGCCTTGCCACCGAGGAACTTTTTAACCACCTCAGTGACCTCCACACGAGAGATTAAAGAGTCCAACCCAGGGTCCCCAGGCTCTGCTTCCTCATGGGAAGGCATGCTAGTGAGATTGAAGAGGTCTTTGAAGTATTCTGCACACCAACCCACAAAGTCTTGAGTTGAGGTCAGCAGCGCACCATCCCCACCATAAATGGTGTTGGTGGCATCCTCCCCCACCACTGGAGCCAACTCACCACCAGGTAGTGGTCATTTGACAGTTCCACCCCTCACTTCACCCGAGTGTCCAAAACATGCGGTCACAGATCAGATGACATGACAACAGTCYATCATCGAACTGCAGCCTAGGGTATCTTGGTGCCAAGAGCACATATAGACACCCTTATGTTGGAACATGGTGTTTGTTCCAACATAAGGGTTTCCAATAACAAAACACCACTCGGGTTCAGATTGGGGGGGGGGGGGGGGTCATCCCAACTGTGCCCCTCCACCCCTCCAGGTCTCAATGTCATTGTTCAAGTGAGCATTGAAGTCCCCCAGCAAGACTAGGAAGTCCKCATCTGGAGCGCTCTCCAGAACCCCCTCCAAGGGCTCCAGAAAGGGTGAGTAATCTGAACTCCTGTTAGGTGCATTGGCACAAACAACAGTCAGATCTCGTCCCCCCACACATAGGCAGAGGGAGGCTACCCTTCTATTCACCGTGATGAACTCCAACATACGTATAGGCACCAAGATGAGGTTCAATAAGTATGCCCACTCCTGCTRGGCGCCTCTTAGCATGGGCAACCAGAGTGGAAGAGAGCCTAAGCCCTCTTGAGGAGACTGGTTCCAGAGCCAGAGAGGTGAGTGCGATATGTAGTTGGAAACTCTCAACCTCACACACCAGCTCAGGCTCCATCCCACCAGAGAGGTGACATTCCATGTCCCTAGAGTCAGCTTCTGTAGCTGAGGATCGGACCACCAGGGTCCTTGCCTTCGACCCCAGCCCATAACACATTTCACCTGCAGACCATAACACTGACATTATTCTGTGTTTTTTTTTTAGTTTTCACATTCTTTACCTTGTGGCATGAAATGATATTAACTTAAAATATAAAATCATCCTCATCAAACATCTTTATAACTGATGGAATAAGAATGTTTCCAAAATGTCATTGTAGATTTAATAATTTATTGAAGATGAATTTAATGCCATGCAGGCTCAGATCAACAACTTCAAAAATTTTATACGCTTTCTTCAATAAGTTTCATTTTACCGGCACTAAACAAGTTACAGAATCATCATCTCAGCCAAAGCAATTTGTAATTTATTTCAGTTTCAGTTTCAAACTTTATTCATTTCTTTAAAAATCTAAATTAATTCTATGTACAGTAAAAAAGAAAATACAAATAAAAGGAAATGAAAGGTGGCAGAGAGAAGAAAAAATAATCTTGTAATATCTGCCCCTTTTT